TATTATTATTATTATTATTATTATTATTATTATTATTATTATTACTACTACTACTACTACTACTATTACTATTAAGATGGATGGTATTCTATAACTAAAAATTTACGTACCAGAAAAATGTGGTTATAATTGTTATTATTGAACATTTTTATATGTTCAATAATAACACAAATGGAGACAGTCACGAGATTAACTTCTCTGTATATTTCAACCCTCTTCTGGGAGGAGGATCCTCTTTCAAGGTGATTCAAATGTACATATCAATCTGTTGTTTACTACACTTTAGTTGTTTATAGTGTTTATGCTGAGAGATATGCTGCCAGGGAGTCATGCTAATATTGACCAAAATTGGCCTTTCTCAGGATGGCCTATCCCTTACACGGGATTTAGGTTATACCTTTGAAGAGTTTCGAGAGTTTATCTACTCTCTGAGCCCGGCCATGGACCAGGCTTATCTGGTGCTTGCCTGGTGAACCAGGCTGTTGCTGCTGGAGGCCCGCTGCCCCACATATACATTACAGCCTGGATGATCTGGCACCTGGTGAAGATACTTGTCCAGTTTCCTTCTGAAGGCTTCTACACTTGTTCCAGCCGTGTTTCTGATATCTTTGTCAAACTGGAGATCAGTGAGGTTAGGTCAGGTTTGTCAGGACACAGGACAAATGTTTCCTGACGCCGGTATTAGTCATATGAAGACTCGCAGCTGGAGATTCTGGTCATCTGACCGAGGCCTTCCGCTGGCTTACCCCTCCACACCTTTAAAAAACATGTTTATAATTATAACCACTTATGTTAACCTTTACACAGGAGAAATGTAATTTATATGAAGCTATCTCGACCCTCCCAGAAATGTATACACGAGAGCAACTTCCCACTTCATCTGACCTATTTCAATGTTCCTTCCAATACCGGAACTCACCCAAGAATAACAGTTACATTTCCCCATCCCTGACAGAAATACAATTTGCTGTTGGATGTATTATTTTTGTTAATTCCCTTACTTACCTTGTTGTCGCAGTCATGCCACACAACAAGCAATGTAAATTGAACTTTCACTCTGTATATTACTGATGTGTATATTTTTCATGATGTGTGCACAGATGGTAACAGTGCATGTACGGTGTAGGGACATGTATCTCAATGTGTATTTATGGATGTATATGTATATATGTATGTGTGTGTGTGTGTGTGTGTGTGTGTGTGTGTGTGTGTGTGTGTGTGTGTGTGTGTGTGTGTGTGTGTTTGTGTGTGTGTGTGTGTGTACTCACCTAATTGTGGTTGCAGGGGTCGAGACTCAGCTCCTGGCCCCGCCTCTTCACTGATCGCTACTGGATCCTCTCTCTCTCTCTGCTTCCTGAGCTTTGTCATACCTCTTCTTAAAACTATGTATGGTTCCTGCCTCCACTACTTCACTTGCTAGGCTATTCCACTTGCTGACAACTCTATGACTGAAGAAATACTTCCTAACGTCCCTGTGACTCGTCTGAGTCTTCAGCTTCCAGTTGTGACCCCTTGTCCCTGTGTCCCCTCTCTGGAACATCCTATCTCTGTCCACCTTGTCTGTTCCCCGCAGTATCTTGTATGTCGTTATCATGTCTCCCCTGACCCTTCTGTCCTCCAATGTCGTCAGTCCGATTTCCCTTAACCTTTCCTCGTACGACATTCCCTTGAGCTCTGGGACTAGCCTTGTTGCAAACATTTGTACTTTCTCTAACTTCTTGACGTGCTTGACCAGGTGTGGGTTCCAGACTGGTGCTGCATACTCCAGTATGGGCCTAACATACACAGTGTACAGTGTCTTGAACGATTCCTTATTAAGGTATCGGAACGCTATTCTCAGGTTTGCCAGGCGCCCGTATGCTGCAGCGGTTATTTGGTTGATGTGTGCCTCCGGTGATGTGCTCGGTGTTATGGTCACCCCAAGGTCTTTCTCCCTGAGTGAGGTCTGTAGTCTTTGTCCACCTAGCCTATACTCTGTCTGCGGTCTTCTTTGCCCCTCCCCAATCTTCATGACTTTGCATTTGGCTGGATTGAATTCGAGAAGCCAGTTACTGGACCACATGTCCAGCCTCTCCAGGTCTCTTTGCAGTCCTGCCTCATCCTCGTCCGATTTAAATTCTTCGCATCAACTTCACGTCATCTGCGAACAGGGACACTTCAGAGTCTATTCCTTCCATCATGTCGTTCACATATATCAAGAATAGCACTGGTCCTAGAACTGACCCCTGTGGGACCCCGCTCGTAACAGGCGCCCACTGTGATACCTCTTCACGTACCATGACTCGTTGCTGCCTCCCTGTCAGGTATTCCCTTATCCATTGCAGTGCCCTTCCTTTAACGTGTGCCTGATCCTCCAGCTTCTGCACTAATCTCTTGTGGGGAACTGTGTCAAAGGCCTTCCTGCAGTCTAGGAAAAGGCAATCTACCCAACCCTCTCTCTCGTGTCTTACTTCTGTTACCTTGTCATAAAACTCCAGGAGGTTTGTGATACAAGATTTGCCTTCCATGAACCCATGCTGGTTTTCATTTATAATCTTGTTCCTTTCCAGGTGTTTGACCACTCTCCTCCTGATAATCTTCTCCATGACTTTGCACACGATACATGTCAGAGACACAGGTCTGTAGTTTAGTGCCTCGTTTCTGTTTCCTTTCTTAAATATGGGGACTACATTAGCTGTCTTCCATTTCTCAGGTAGTTGCCCAGTTTCAAGGGATGTGTTGAAGATTGTGGTTAGAGGCACACACAGCATCTCTGCTCCTTCTCTAAGGACCCATGGGGAGATGTCCGGTCCCATCGCCTTTGAGGTGTCAAGGTCACTTAAGAGCTTCTTCACCTCCTCCTCAGTTGTTCGTATGTCATCCAACACTTGTTGGTATATTCCCTCTTGATGTTCCCTTCTGTTCTGTCTTCCCACAGCCCTTCCTGTCTCTACTGTAAAAACTTCCTTAAATCTCCTGTTCACCTCCTCACATACCTCCTGATCATTTCTTGTGAGTTCTCCACCTTCTGTGTGTGTGTGTGTGTGTGTGTGTGTGTGTGTGTGTGTGTGTGTGTGTGTGTGTGTGTGTGTGTGTGTGTGTGTGTGTGTGTGTGTGTATGTGTGTGTGTGTGTGTGTGTGTGTGTGTGTATAATTAGAGTTTATGTTAATCTTAATAGGCCCATATTGAGGATTATTCTTGATTGGTGGTTAACAGACGACATACAACCTTAGTGACCCCTCGCAAAGTCGACAAACTGTAAACATTATACATCACACACACACACACACACACACACACACACACACACACATGTTAGGAAGTATTTCTTCAGTTATAGAGTCGTCAGGAAGTGGAATAGCCTAGCAAGTGATGTAGTGGAGGCAGGAACCATACATAGCTTTAAGACGAGGTATGACAAAGCTCAGGAAGCAGAGAGAGAGAGAGAGAGAGGACCTATTAGCGATCAGTGAAGAGGCGGGGCCAGGAGCCGAGTCTCGACCCCTGTAACCACAATTAGGTGAGCACACACACACACACACACCGTCTAAGACGAACCATGTTACCAGTTGTCAATAAATATTATTGCGCACCCTTGTAATATTGACCCAACTTGCAATACACATCATGTTAAATTGCCCTTCACATCCCACTGTAGCGGAAATGATACCGGGGTTCCTAATTTTTGACCTAATTAACTTTTAGTAGGCCCTAATTAGCGAGGCTCATCACTACTACACTCGCCGACGCTACTGATTCCAGAAGTGAGGCTGACACATGGGGGCTGTTTCCCCTGTGTCTTTGGTGATACTGTCTCACCTGTTGGCTGTAGCCCTCATCCTAGCCTCAGGGAAATACGTTTATCCTTCATCCTAGCCTCGGGGAAATGTGTATCCTTCATCCTAGCCTCAGGAAAACACGTTTATCATTCATCCTAGCCTCAGGAAACACTTGCATCCTTCATCCTAGCTTCAGAGAAACACTAGTATCCTTCATTCAAGCCTCAGGGAAACTTGCATCCTTCATCCTAACTTCAGAGACACACTAGTATCCTTCATTCAAGCCTCAGGGAAACACTTGTATCCTCTATCTTAGCCTCAGGAAACACTTGTATCCTTCATCCTAGTCTTAGGAAACACTTTTATCCTTCATCCTAGCCTCAGGGAAACACCCGTTATCCTTCATCCTAGCCTTAGGGAAACACGTGTATCCTTTATCCTAGACTCAGGGAAACACGCATCCTTCATCCTAGCCTCAGGGAAAAACCTGTATCCTTCATCCTAGCCTTAGGGAAACACCTGTATCCTTCATCCTAGTCTCAGGAAAAACCTGTATCCTTCATCCTAGCCTTAGAAAAGCACCTGTATCCTTCGTCCTAGTCTCAGGGAAAACCTGTATCCTTCATCCTAGCCTTAGGGAAACACCTGTATCCTTCATCCTAGTCTCAGGGAAAACCTGTATCCTTCATCCTAGCCTTAGGGAAACACCTGTATCCTTCGTCCTAGTCTCAGGGAAAACCTGTATCCTTCATCCTAGCCTTAGGGAAACACCTGTATCCTTCGTCCTAGTCTCAGGGAAAACCTGTATCCTTCATCCTAGCCTCAGGGAAACACCTGTATCCTTCATCCTAGTCTCAGGTAAACACCTGTATCCTTCATCCTAGCCTCAGGGAAACACCTGTATCCTTTATCCTAGTCTCAGGGAAAACCTGTATCCTTCATCCTAGCCTTAGTGAAACACCTGTATCCTTCATCCTAGACTCAGAGAAACACCTGTATCCTTCATCCTAGTCTCGGGGAAACACGTGTATCTTTCATCCTAGCTTCAGGGGATACACGTGTATCCTTCATCCTAGCCTCAGGGAACACACCTGCATCCATCCTATATCCTAGCATATTTCTCTCCCCCTCTCTTTCTCTCCTCTCTCTCTCTCTCTCTCTCTCTCTCTCTCTCCCGCGAGTCCACCCACGCAGGCTATATAACCCCCTCGTCTCTCTCACTTCCCAGCGACCCACTGTAGAGACAACATTCGCGTTCTCTCGCTCTCTCCTCCTCCAGTCAACAGGAGGCAAATAGGAGGGAGAGAGGAAAGAAACAACAGCATTCCCTACGTCAGATAGAGACATACCTACTTCTGCTGCGTAAGGAAGAGATATACCTATTTTCTCTACGTCAGTCATACTTCCCCTACGTAGGAAAAAGAAAACTCCGCTCCAAGAAGTGGTTTATAACTCTTAAGTGGTTCTTAAGGTAGTGGTATTTCCAGAAATATAAAAACAAGATTTTGAAGTGGTACTTATAAAATTTTGGTCGAAGGAACAAAAAAGAATATACTGGCAAGTTCTGGAATCTTTATTCCAGTAGTTGAGAAATATTTTTACCCAAAGTAAATCAGGCAAAGAATTTTTTTTTATGAGACTTAAGGATCGTTACAGTGGCCCCCAAAACTTGGAAGAAATAGCCATAAAGGCCAGGTTAAAAAAAAAAAACCCACTGAGGTGAAAGAATTTTGAGAATCTTCAGAACAAGGAAAAATAAATATGTGCACTGAAGAAGGGAGGAGTACAAGTCTTGCATGGTAATGGAAGAGTAAGACCTGCCTAGCCTAGAAGAGCAGGACTGACCTACCCTAGCAACAAGAGTAAGACCTGCCTAGCCTAAAAGAGCAGGACTGGCCTACCCTAGCAACAAGAGACCTGCCTAGCCTAAAAGAGCAGGACTGGCCTACCCTAGCAACAAGAGACCTGCCTAGCCTAAAAGAGCAGGACTGGCCTACCCTAGCAACAAGAGACCTGCCTAGCCTAGCAATAGAAAAGTGGGACCTGCCCAGCATATTAATTTGTCCATGCTAAGTACACTGGACCAATGCTGATAACTATATTGCCATCCAGCTGTTGCAGATAAACACTTGAACAGATATATTCATACAAAAGCTATAGATAACCACTCGAAAAAGATATATTTAGGCAGCAAATGCAAATAATTGCTTGAAAAATACATTTCCAGGCATCAACTGTAGAAAAAATCTCTCTTCAGGATCTGATTATCCAATCAATTTTTACCAAACAACTTCAGGGTAAAAAAAAAAAACTTTTCCCTGAGAGCCACTGATGAATTAACGAGTTCTCGACTGCATGAAAAATGAATAAGTCTTCCCTGCATTAGCGTCTCAGACCCACTGAGGAAAAATATAAACTCACAGACGAAAAATATTGACTTCCTTGAAATAATATATAAATCCATTCGAGAAAATAAAAGACTCGCTTTAGAGAACACTGTACAATAGTCTTCTAGAACGTCAAGAGACGAAATCTTCAGTGAGATCGTACATTCGTGTGAAGCGGTAAAGCCGTGTGGGTTATTTAGCGCCAGGAGTGCTACAGACTTGAGCCTCTGGTTCGCTAACTGGGAGAAAATAGGTGCTACTCCGGCAGCTTCTGAAAGCTACAAAACCTGAAGCGAGGGAATCAGGAGCCTGTTTCTTAGCTAGAACAACTAGATTCTTCAGCCAGGAGCTGACTCCTCGGCTAGGAGACAACGACTCAGCTAGGACCCAGGATCAGCTGAGAGCAGCAGCCATGAAGGAGAACAAGCTGGTGGTGCTAGGAGCTGGGGGAGTGGGGAAAACGTCCCTGGTGTTGCAGTTCCTACAAGGATTCTTCTCTCCCACCTACAAACCTACAGTAGAGGACTGTTACAGTCACACCTTACAGCTGCCCAGTGAGTACAGTGTGTGTTTATGTATTTGTATGTCGAATCACCTATATGTGGTTGCAGGGGTTGATATACAGCTCCTGGCCTCGCCTCTTCGCTGCTCGCTACTAAATCCACTCTCCCCCTGCTCCATGAGCTCTATCGTACCTCTTCTTTAAGCTATGTATGGATTCTGCTTCCACTACATCACTCTCCAGACTGTTCCACTTCCTGACTAGTCTATGATAGAAGAAATTCTTTGTGTGCCGTAGGCTATTATTATCATCAATATTGAAGCGCTGAACCCGCAGGAGGGACATACTGCGTCTGGGATATGGCGGATATTCAGGTTTGATCCAAGGAAGGGGAGAGGTAGCTCTAATTCCTTGGATCAAGAACCCAGTGTTCTCTCTGAACCTCTTCAAGGGAAGGTGCCCCTATGCTGGTGAAGGGCTTTTGATCAAAGGAATTGAAGCTATTTGCTGTTCCTCGAATCAAACCCGACTAACTCCCATTCCCCAGGAGTTGCATGACTCCCTACGGGTTTAGAGCTTCCCACGAATTGTGTTTAATTTTGCTCATTCGTTCAAATGTCAACGTTGTTAAATAATACAATATCATACATTTTTCTCCCGAAGGATGATATACAAATTTTGTATATATGCACATACTTTTAGGTATGTTTATCAGTTGAAGATTGAGACACTTATGCAGCATATGGGAATCTTTATTTAGGAATAAAGTTTCCCATATGCTGCATAAGTGTCTCAATCTTCAACTTGTCGGTTTTTCAAACCATTCATCACACATGTTTATCAGTGTATATTATATGCGCCGTGAGGGTTGTCTCGTGTATATATATATATATATATATATATAATATATATATATATATATATATATATATATATATATATATATAATATATATATATATATATATATATATATAATATACATACAGATGTGTCTGTATACACCGAGAGGTGTATACACAGAGAGGTCTGTGTTTCAGTGTATTTTCGATAGGTGTATGTCTCTCAGTTTATTTAAACATCGATAGGTGTATGTCTCTCAGTGTATATACATCGATAGGTGTATGTCTCTCAGTGTATATACATCGAGAGGTGTATGTCTTTCAGCGTATATACATCGAGAGGTGTAAAGCTCTCAGTGTATATACATCGAGAGGTGTATGTCTCAGTGTATATACATCGAGAGGTATGTCTCAGTGTATATACATCGAGAGGAGTATGTCTCTCAGTGTATATACATCGAGAGGTGTATGTCTTTCAGCGTATATACATCGAGAGTTGTAAAGCTCTCAGTGTATATACATCGAGAGGTGTATGTCTCAGTGTATATACATCGAGAGGTATGTCTCAGTGTATATACATCGAGAGGAGTATGTCTCTCAGTGTATATACATCGAGAGGTGTATGTCTTTCAGCGTATATACATCGAGAGGTGTAAAGCTCTCAGTGTATATACATCGAGAGATGTATGTCTCAGTGTATATACATCGAGAGGTATGTCTCAGTGTATATACATCGAGAGGAGTATGTCTCTCAGTGTATATACATCGAGAGGTGTATGTCTCAGTGTATATACATCGAGAGGTATGTCTCAGTGTATATACATCGAGAGGTATGTCTCAGTGTATATACATCGAGAGGAGTATGTCTCTCAGTGTATATACATCGAGAGGTGTATGTCTCAGTGTATATACATCGAGAGGTATGTCTCAGTGTATATACATCGAGAGGAGTATGTCTCTCAGTGTATATACATCGAGAGGTGTATGTCTCAGTGTATATACATCGAGAGGTATGTCTCAGTGTATATACATCGAGAGGAGTATGTCTCTCAGTGTATATACATCGAGAGGTGTATGTCTCAGTGTATATACATCGAGAGGTTTATGTCTCTCAGTGTATATACATCGAGAGGTGTATGTCTCTCAGTGTATATACATCGATAGGTGTATGTCTCTCAGTGTATATACATCGAGAGGTGTATGTCTCTCAGTGTATATACATCGAGAGGTGTAAAACTCTCAGTGTATATACATCGAGAGGTGTAAAGCTCTCAGTATATATACATCGAGAGGTGTAAAACTCTCAGTGTATATACATCGAGAGGTGTAAAACTCTGTGTATATACATCGAGAGGTGTAAAGCTCTCAGTGTATATACATCGAGAGGTGTAAAGCTTTCAGTGTATATACATCGAGGTGTAAAGCTCTGTGTATATATATCGAGAGGTGTAAAGCTCTCAGTATATATACATCGAGAGGTGTAAAGCTCTCAGTGTATATACATCGAGAGGTGTATGTCTCTCAGTGTATATACATCGAGAGGTGTAAAGCTCTGTGTATATACAATGAGAGTTTAACCCCCTATTTTAGGCATTAAAATATACCTGGTGGTGTACAGGTGACATGCAGCCGTAATGACCCTCGTGTAGTAGACAGACTTTAAACCCCATTAACCAACCACGTTGTAAATAACATTAAAAAGGCTTCTGTCTGAACACAATCCCAAAAGGTCTATTGATTTTCTGTTAATAAGAATGAAATGACTCACGATTGCAAAAAAAAAAAAAAAGTACCACGGGCGGGGTTTGAACCCGCGATCAGTCACTAGGCTACAAGAGTATCTTAGCGAGTTATGTTGTTACGTGTAGATAAATAGTCCCTGGAATGACACTAGAAGGAACAGGAGGAGGAGGATAGAGAAGAATAAGAGAGGTGGGGAGGGGTAGGAAGGTTATGCAGATAAAGAAGAATAAGACGGTATTAGAGAAAGAGGAGAAAAGGGGGAGAAAACGAAACAAAATATAAAAAATAACAATAATGATAATAATAAAGAAGGAGTGATCAGGAGACGGAAGTAATATTAGTTTCGATAAGCTCGGTTTTAAGGATAAAATTCTCTCTGTTTCTCGTGTAATTACTTAATATCCTGTCACATGTTCAGGCACGTTGAACTGCAACCCCTTATTACCCTTACCACCCCTTCCCTACCTCATGACTCCCCCTTTCCCCTGACCTCATCCCTCCATCTGACCTCCTCCATCCCCTCCCCTTTCTTCAGGTGACTTCCGGCCAGCGAGGTCGCCAGACTGACAGCCGAGGTCATCTCATGTCAAACTCCGCTCAATGTCAGGAACTGTGGGCGGAAGGCAGTGATGGCGGCTGCAACACAGTTTGTGTTTAACGAGTTGAACTCAACGAGTTTGAATTGTGCTCGTCGAGTTGTTCTGAGTTGTATTTACTGAGTTGTACTCTTAATTGCTTGGCGTCGAGATTCAGCTCCTGACTCCATCTGCTTGTCATACTATTTAATAATAATAATTAGTATTATTATAATAATTATTATTATTAACACACCGGACATCTCCCGTCAATGAGGGGTGACTCCGAAAAAGAGGAAGTACTCAGGCCATCACTCATTTAATCACCGCCTCGCCAGAAGTACGCTGACATCATAATTCTAATGACCTTCCGAACTACCAGACGACCACCCCTCCACCTGAATGCAGGCATTGTACTTCCCACCTCCAGGACTCAGTTCGCCTCACCGGTTTCCCCAAATTTCTTTATAAATGTTCGCTTCTCCCCTCTCTTACAACTCGTCAGGTCATAAAAATCGTTTGCTTCCACTCCTATCTACGCATTGACAATCTTGGATGTCCAGGCCCACTAGGGATGGCTTCTAGGAATCCTTCCTCCACCCTCGATTTATCCACTCTCCTAGCTATCCTATTTTGTTCCATCTTCTCTAGATGCCCTAAACCACCTCAACCATTCCTCAGCTTTCCGAATACTTTTAGTAACCCCAAACCTAGTCTTCAAGCTCTGAATTCTCGGTATAATCACATCATACATTGCTCTCAACACACAATAGTATAATAATAAGATATATCCTTTATGGTATAATAATAAGGTATTAAAAGGACCACAATGGAAATAAGCCACTCTGACTTTTTTTTGGGTTATCCCAGGTTCTCTACACATGCTGCTATGATAATCTATGTAACTGTATTTGTGTATACCTGAATAAACTTACGTCTTCACTGCGTCCAACCTTCTCCTCGCTTTAAACTCATGCTTCGCACCCACATAATAAGAGTGTTGGTACTGCTACACTCTGCCCCTTCTTGCCTCCATGGATAAAGGTCTTTGTCTCCACAGATACCTCAGTGCAATACACACTTTTCCTCCTTGTCTATTCAGTGGGTCGCCTTGTTTGTCAGACTTATCTTCCCACAAGTTCACTCTCAAATATTTGAACGCATTTACCTCATACTCACTGCCTCAAGGCTGATATCCAATTCTTCACTGCATTTTGTTTATTCTATTTGCTTTACTGTTTCCTATGTTCACTTTTAATTTCCCACTTTTGCATACCCTCCCAAATTCCTCTACCAATCTTTGCAACTTCTCTCCGTTAAAAAAAAAAAAAAATAATGCCACGGGTGGGGTTAGAACCCGCGATCAGGAAGTCTCAAAACTCCAGACCGTCGCGTTAGTCACTGGGTCATTACGATTTCGTGAGTGAAGTTCTCTTCATTATCTCTCAAAATAACCTTGTCATCGGTAAAATAACAACTCTGACAACTCCCACTTGAATTACGTCCTACGCTATCTTCAGCTGACTAATTTACGTTATACCCTCAAGTTGTGCATTTTCGGCCATAAAGTTTAATTTTTTACCCCCAAATTTGCTAAGTTATACCTTTACAATATTAATTTAAGTTATACCCTTAACCTATACCTTTAAGTTATACCTTTAAGATATGAACTTACGTTATACCCTGAAGTTAGCAGCATCAGCACTAACTGTTCCAGTTCATTAATGCAAATGTGTTCTCCCACACACTCGTATTTATTTTCGGATGAGTCAGAAGAATGTTTATGCAAATAACTATCCAGAGAACTGCTCTTTTCTCAAAAAAATGATGGATTTTTCATGAAAATACAGCGAAAGAATGAGGTGGGAGTTGCATGGGTAATTCACGAGGCTT